CGCGACGCAAGCGGTAGACTAAAATTATATGGGGGGAAAGAAAAATGTATCCGGCCAAATCAAACTTGAAGAAGGACAGAGGCTTAAAGTTGTCTACAATAAAGAAAGTTGCCAAAAACCCTATCCGACGAGAGATGTGGTTGTAGTTCCACAAACGGCTACTAATTAATAAGTCAAATTAGTCAATGGACTAAGCTTTTAATAAATTAGTCGATTGTTTTCTAAACCGTATGTGGTTGAAATTTACTTACCTTGAGCGTATGATGCACAGAAAAGTAGTACAATAGCTAGGTGCATTTTTAAAGAAGTAAACTGCATTTTCTTTCAGGGTATAATGTGATCTGAATGTGAAGGAAAAAATGACGACACAATGAACGCAATTACTTTGATTAGTTGTTTATAATTTATAATTTTGTTTTTATAAACATGTTCAATAAATAAGAAACAAGAAAATGTTACCGCTATTCACAAAGGGCCTAAATATGCCTAATGATCTAACGAATTTGTAAAAGAATACATTTTATTTTTAAACTCAGCCACCTTTTTTCCATAAGACAGACATAAAAGTGTAAAAAAAAATTCGATTTTAAAGGTTGTATATAAATGGTTTAAATTGTTTATATACACACGTGTTAAAATATATTTCTGCATACATTTTTTGCATTACTATATTCTAAACTAGTTTTCACCAATTAATCATTAAAAAAAATAAACTAAAAACTAGTTCTTAGTTATCTCTAACCTACTCAGATGTTATTAGTCGTGTATTTAATTTAACTAAATGATTTTCAATAGGATTGGCAATATTTTAATTAGAAGAGTAGCTTTTAAAAGCTTTCGGGGAAAACCATTTTATCGGCGTTTACTCGGTTCATTTACGACAAGCCCACAGCGTTAACTTTTATTTTTCTTTGTCAGCGGCGATAAACCCAAAGCATAGAGTTGGGGAATTTATAATATCTTCCCAGTTATTAATGAGTACGCCTTAGAACCTAATGTTATTAGGGGTAGGTAAAGTAGAGCTTTTCTGTTTAGTGACCTCTACATCTGAAAATATCGTCGGCCCTATGCAAAGCCGACAGTAAGTTCCTTAAATTGAGACAAGTGGGCTAAGAAAAACCTGGAGGACAGTGGAAGATGAGGATAGAGCTGCCGGGCTTAGGTGGGCGGAAATAATGAGAGCAGCTCCTAACCGAGTCCGGTGGAGAGGTGTGCCTGCAGCCCTTTGCTGCCCATGGGCCACAAACGAATAAAGTAAACAAGGAAATTAAGGTTATCACAAGGTCAGGATTCACGCAAATATAAGGGTGTCTGAGGGAGAAAATAGGAAAAAATTTTGCAGGGTTTCATTTATATTATGCTACAAGCAGACATTTTTTTAAATCGGAACTTGTTACATTATGCTTAAAAACAGTTACTCTATGTAATAAAAACTATACGGATTTATTTATGTTTTTGTATATCTACTTAGTTGACTGACCCAAACTAAATATAATACCCTCCATTCAATCGACTGGCCTAAACTCAGTTTAATACCGTTCATTTAATCAAAGCTCCGGAAGTTTTTGTTTAGAAACTTTTTGATTAGACGGTAAGCACAGTTTTGTCTGCAGTTAGATTAAGAAAAACAAACACAAGGCCGCACACGTTATAAACATGGAACAAATAAACCGGGAGTGATCTCCGCTAAACTTTCTCGAATATTCTAATATAACACTACGGGGGATGGCAACTCGGGACATAGACAATATTTTTAATCCATTTTTAATTACTTAAACTTTTTATAATAGAATAGAATCTCGTAAAAAAGAATTATACACCAAGTGAACGCCAAATTAAATGTGCATAAGAGTGCGGTATATTATTAGTACTTTATAAATTAATTGCGTGTTTTTTGAGAAATCGAAAGTAGCGTAAATTACTACTTGCGGTCGACGGAAATTACACAAAATTTGATAGACGGCAGAAAATTAGAACTTTTACTTACATGTGAAATTTCATTTATCTATCTGAAATAGTACTCACGTTATAGGCTTTTGAAAAATTGAAAGTAGAAAAAGTACCACTTCCGGTTATCGCTCAAAAGTTGATACGGTTCTACGATTTTGATATAATACTATATATGAAATTTTATCAACTTAGCTATAACGGTACTCAAGTTATCGTGTTTACACACACACACACACACACACACACACACACACACACACAGACACACATACACACACACAGACATACGAACAAGATTGCAAAATTATGTTTTTCCGCATCAGGGAGCCCTAAAACGTCGAGATTTGCAAAAATCTCGATTTTTTGCACGATTACAAGACTTTCTCTATACTTCGTATATACGAGAAAGTAAAAAATATATATCTAACAATAGATCTTATTGCTTTACTGAATGATAAAGCTATTTACAGATGCGTTCTTACACGATGATCGGATGTGACTAGTTAAACTCTTCTGAGTATGGCAGTCAACGTTTTTTTCCTCAGTAAAATATTTAATTTTCTACTACGCCTTTCACCAGTGTTTCTTCCACACTTTTTACTCCGTGGGGGCTCTTACAATTTTCCGGGGTGTGATGGGGGTGGGGGTAAGAGGCGTACTAAAATTCCAGGGGGGGGGGGACACTGGTAAAAGTATATATTTTCTATATGAATTATAATTCGTTCGGGGCTGGGGGTAGAGGTGTGTTGGCGTAGGTCCCCTTTCCCAAATAAATGCCTGGAAGAAACACTGCCTTTGAAGTTTCCTTACTTATCTGATTTACAGTTTTGTTATGATTTTCTAACATACAATTTAAATCCAATTAAATTTTTTATTACTAATGTTAATTTAGTCTTAGAATTAAATTGTAAATTAAAGAACTTGCAGATAATTAATCCAAACACGACTATCAAATTATTAAATCCCACTCAAATTTAAACAAACTATATTTCCAAAAACTTAAATAATTTGTTCATAAAGTACAGGTATATATTTTGTTATCAAGATAGTTTTTATTATTTGTACCCCTTACACGCTGATAATTGCGTTTTTATTATCTAATTTACTTCGTTAAAAAAATAAGCTATAATTTAAATGTTCAAAAGCGCTCTCAAGACCTTTGCGAATGGAGCAGAGCTAGAAGAGGTCGAAGACTTTAAGTACCTCGGCAGCTATATATCAGCAAATGGCAAGCACAAGCTTTCAACAGACTTGCTAAGATCTGGAAATCCTAACTGCAGCAGAGAACTAAAATAAGGATGTACAAGTCTAATGTACGTTCTGTACTCCTCTATGCTGCAGAGTCATGGAAACTAAACAAGAAAGGAGAGAGCCGACTCAGAGGCTTTGAGGGAAAATCCCTCCAACGTATCCTCAGAATTAAGTGGGACGACAAAGTCCCGAACAAGGAAATAAGACGAAGGACAGGTTTAAACGACATTGTTTCAGAAGTTCGAATGAGGAGATGGGTCATGTCCTACGCATGAGCAAAAGAAGACTCGCCAACATGACGCTGAAGTGGACTCCGCCTCTCAAGCGAAAGAGAGGAAGACCACTGGGAACATGGAGGAGAGAGATGGAAGAAAAAGTGCAGTCTACTGGCAAGACCTGGCATGAACTAAAGTGGCTCGCCCAAGACAGAGTGGAATGGCGGAGATTTGTTGCTGCCATATACTCCACAGGGAGTGATGAGGATTAAGTAAGTAAGTAAGTACTTCTTTTAAAAAAAAGCTATAATTTAAATGTTCATTAACGTAAAATCTATAAATGAAAACACACTCTATATCGCAGTAATGACATGCCTTTAGATAACAAGACGACATTAAAAAGAACTCACCACTGGAAATTGATTCACTGGAGTTGATAGTTTCAGACAGACATCCTAGGGGGCGTGTGTTGCTGATTTATACAGTCTGTATCAACGGGTTAGCCAATCAAAACACTTGTTAGAAACATTATTGCTGCCTATTAAAATCCAGGGGCAGTGACACGTATTAAATAAACGGAAAATTACAGCAGCTAGCATACATACGTGTATAGTTTAAATTAGAAATAGATGATTATTAAAAACATTTAGAAAAAATATTTTTAAAAATAAATAGGAATAGATGATTAAAAAGATAATAGACACATTGTTGACATAGTCTAGTTGAAGTAATCCTCGATTCATACACAAGAACTTATCATGTAATAAAGTATCCACGCCTATGTGAGCCCATTAAATCTAGCTTAATCCCCTGTTACAATCCTCGTGCGCGCGTGTCTGCCTAGTCTCAACCAATCGTGCTGAATGTACAATAGACCTCATTGAACTACTGATTTAGGTCAAAACCACAAGGATGGTGCGCGCATCAGACATCGCGTGGGTCGCGGGGTGGTAAAAGTCGTCACCACCCCCCCCCCCCCCCTCTCCCACATCCACAAACGAAATAGAAATGTTAAGTAAATAATTTTAAATAGAAAATATATAATTGAACCTTTCCGTCTCCCCTCCCCCCGACCCCAAAGTTTCATGGGGCACCCGAAAAAAAAATCAAAGGAAAACTGTCTAACTCGACTGTGGTTTACTGGGATGGTATATAATCAACACATCTGCAACAGGCACCTGATGATAAAAAGAATTAATTTCTGATTTACCGGGTCGGTGATTCTCAAATCTATGTTTTAGTATGTTGTTGTAGTCTGTTGGCTTTCAGTTTGGTTAGTGTAGTATAGGTTACATTTAGCAAGGTCATTTCTCGGGAGCCGGTAATTAGCCCGAAAGAAAACCGAATCGTGTTTGCCCGAAGGCCGTTTACCCGAATGTTGTTTGCCCGAAGGCCGTTTACCCGAATGTTGTTTGCCCGAAGGCCGTTTACCCGAATGTTGTTTGCCCGAAGGCCGTTTACCCGAATGTTGTTTGCCCAATTGGACAATGTCAGAAAAAAAATTGTAACAACTTTTTGCAAAATGTAACGCACATTAATTAATTTACCTTTAATAATAAATTGTAAATAGCTACACAATATGGAAAAAATGTAATCTGTGATATAAATAGAAAAAAAAAGCATGTTATCTTAGACTTTAACGTCAATTAGTTCATCGTGTAATCGCTTACATCCATTGTCTAAACAAGGTTGTTGAATTAAAAACACAGCAAAAAACAAACTGATCAGATTGATCACGTAGTACGGATAGCATCAATCGAATATTATCGCACCAATGGATGCAAGATGGATAACCTTAATTTTTGTTATGTTACGTGTGTTATGCATGCGTTTTAATAATGTATTAAATTTAAATTTAATTTGTTTTAAGCTATTTCTTGTTGGTTTTTTTTCTTTTTTTTTTTTTTTTTTTTTTTTTTTTTTTTTTTTAACAAATTGTTAATCTTAAAAAAAGAAATTAAATGTATGCTTAAAACTGTTAAATGTCTGCTTAAAATGTGTTAATTATGAAAAGTCTAATAATTGGACAATTTTCTGGACCCTAGACAATGGCCGCTGCCCATTCCCTCCCTTGAATAATACACCGTGTAGGCGTTCACAACGTGGTCGTTGATATACAAAGCGTGTATTTGATTCAAGTCAGATAAACACCCACGTCATAGCCGAACATCAAACGCTACTATTGACCAGGCAATATTGTATGTGGATACAAGCTACTTGTTTATATCGGTTTTGTAATCAAATGTCACAGCAATACATTTGCGAATCATACACCGAGACCAGATGTAAACAATGAGTTTTTCTAAACGGAATTTTTATGTGGGCGGTGAGGATGGGTTATTGCGTTTCTCGCGTAGTGATATATTGAACAAAAGATATTGTTTACCATAGGTTTGTTTTGGGATTGAAGGGGTTGAATACGGATGAGTTCGAGGGTCATCAATTATGGGGGATAAGGGAGGGGGGGGGGGGGGGTTAATTTCAAAATAACCTTCAGACTCAATGCAGAATTTATTGTGCTAAATTATGGTACACCCGTTTTATAAATAATTATTTATCTCATAATAATGTCAAAGTATAAGAAATTATAAATTATAAAATTATAATAAATTATATGTGCATTTAAAGTAGTAAATAAGCCTACATTTATATAATATAAGAAATACGTAAAGGTAAATGTATTTAAGAGAAAAAATATTTTACTTTCTTTTTTCGTGGACCAGTTTTAACGTTTTCTTGTCATTAATCTGTTTTCACTTTCTACTCAGAATGTGGGCACAATTCGTATCCCACGCATTTATGTTCATACGAAATATGTGTCATATTTTCTTGTTTTACAGATAACATGGTGCAAAGATATTTATCAACCAATAGCTAGCCTTTTAAGTGCCGAAAATGATTCGAATGTAACAAAGTTGAAAACCAATACAACATTTTTTTCTACATTAGATGATATAGGTTTTTACGTGGGATATCGTGTAAGCATGATCATTTTTTACAACGATATAGTGACTGACTTATTACTTTTTATTTTATTTTAAATTCCTTAAAGCGTGTAAGTAGAGTAAAGTCTGAAGGTCTACGGGCCAAGTGAAGTAGAGTTCACTTGTTTCTGTGACCTCGGCATTTAGAGGTATAGTGTGGTCAGCACTATACCCAGCCGGCTTTACTTACCCTAACGTGAGTTAGGTACTCATCAGATCTGAGTAAAATGAGGGACGGCTACTGACTTGCACCCGGATTCGAGCTCGAGACTAGCGGGCTAGGACAAACCTAATTCATATTGAAAACATTTCTCTTTATATCTTCTTATTCGTTCTTAATTTTACTGTTGGAAGGTATCCCCTCCAACACAAGTATAAGTGTCAACTGATTATGCGCCATTAAGGCCATTGGCTCCATTTCAGTCTGCTTTTCTTTTGTTTTTGGATTTGCTTCTATAGCCTTTGTCAAGCAAAGAAAAAACTACAAGGCAGCAGTTATTTAATTTTGGAGTATTCTCCTTGCAACCTTGTGCTATACCGTCTCGACCACGCCGACCCCGTTATATAATTTCTTACATTATTTAAACATCCTTTTTTTACAAAATTATTTCACGGTTCAAACCGACCAAATGTAAGAAACATGAATAGTGATAAGTCCCACTTTTGCTTTGCATCCAAACAAGGCTTCGTATGGCGATTGTTGGATTCCTCGATGAAAAGAACGATTTTTCATAAATTGAATGAATTTGAGACTCTCAACCCAATGAGCTGATTCATTTGTTTGCATCCATGTCATCATCATGTTTTGAACATCTTGGTTGGCACGTTCGACTGAACCTTGGCTTTGGCTATGCCTTGGTTTTCCCCTTGTGTTTTAATACATTAAAACAAGATGTTTTAATTGATGTTTACATCGATTTCGTTTGAAATAACCAATTTTGTTTTCCAACTCTTTTATTGACATAGGATTGTGTAATACCGACTTAAGCACATGGCTTATTTTATCAATGTCTTTGTTGTTCATTAAACGAAAATTTGCTTTTTATTGTTTTTCCTTTGTTCTGGGTTTAAAATGTTAAGTCTGTGTTTACAAAGTTGCGTGATGGTTTAAGATGACTTGTTTTGTTATTCTGATCGAAATGGCGTGTAGCACGTTGTATTGAGATGTATTTGACTTTCGTCTTATTTTTTTATCAACACAATGGATTAGAAATAGAACAGTCTGCGTTGATACGTATGTGTAGGTTTCGGACGGGGTTCTTTTGTTTTCGTTTATTTGAGGACGTCTCTCACTGTTGTTTCTCCTGCAACAATAATTTCAATAAACATTAATAAAAATACATTGCTTTGTGCCCTGTACGACTACACCACATTTGCTGCCCTACGCTATAATGACGTTATTTTAAACATTTTTCTCTGGTTTTACTCTGAGTTGGTTTCTCCCAACGCCCCCCCCCCCCCACCCCACTACTTCACCACCTTAAACGGGACACAACATTAATGTCACACCTAAGTATACGCTGGGTAGGATAATTGACCTAAAGTGACCGGACAACGGTGAAGTTAATCCCCCCCCCCCAACCCACCCCGAACTGATCTGTTAAGTACATTTGGGAAAACGCGTAATGACGTACCAAAGTACCTTGCCGTCAGAATCATAACTTTTGAAACAGGTAACACTCTTTAAATAATTTTTTGCTATTACCAGTAAATAGATGTGTGTGCAATAAAATGATTTAACCCATACCTTATCATTATTTAAAAAAATGATTACTAAAGATCACAAAAAACAGTAACAATTAAAAAATGTGATATGATCCGTAAGACTAATGAACGGAACCAATGTTTTAGTTACGTGTAGGCTATTATTTAAAATGTTCGGCCGAATTTACTTTCAATTGAAAACGTGATTTTATACCAACTCTGATTTTAAAAACTTACATTATGCTGTAAGATGTTAGCATTCATGATGACAATATATTTAATTCTGATTGTAAATAACATATTTTTGTAAAAACGAATAAAGTTAAGTTTTTATGCTACATACTTAAGTAATTAATGATCTGTTTTGACATTTACAATTAAATTTGTAGGAATATACATATTTATATTTAGGTAGTGATTATTTCCCCTAGTTCGTTAGTCTTAATATTCTAGGAAACATTATATATATATCAAATTTTTTTTTATAAGGATTACAAACAGTGTTTCTTCCAGACTTTTTTCTCCGGGAGGGGAGAGGGTCGGTGGGGGGGTCGGTCAACATTTTTCGGGGGGGGGGGGGGCGGGGGGGGACACTGGTAAAAGTGTATATTTTCTATATTAATTCTATTTCGTTCGGGGGGGGGTGTAGACATTCTTTCTAAACAGTTCCTCACTGTTTATATCTAACACAAATCAAGTTTTGGAACGAACTTGGCCTTCTGTGATTCCAACATTTGAAGGTATAAACTGGTCAGTCTGTTGTCCAGCAGATTCGTCTTTCGTTT